TTGCCCAGGTGGTTCTCAAAAGGCTTGTGGCTGCTGGATCAGTTGGGTGTCAGCGCCTTGCACTCAGTGCCGAGGTTCGCGAGTTGTGGGGATTCGCAGGAATTGGGTTTCTGACCATTTTAATTATATACTTTAATTATATACTTTGAATAAATATCTTTTTCGATCTCTCTCTCGCTTTCAATTTATTATATAATTACACCTATTACATAATATCAGCCTATAAGCTCGTGTAAATCACGCATTTTTCCTGTGCTTTTTCTCGGTGCTTCACAATTAAGTCCACTGGTTGCCCGTGGCATGGTCTCTAGGCTATGAAGAGCGCATTTCACTGCAACCGCGCGCGGGGGCCAATGCCGCGTTCGCAACATCGCAGAAATGTTACATCCCAAATTGGCAGTTTTTATGGGAAGAGTGGGAGAATGACGTGATAAACTATTGGATTGTGGGGGTGTTTGCCTGGTTTTTGGCGTCTAAATTTTCCATCCCAAGCATCAAAAGATGCTGTTATGTATGTATGTATATTTATATATATATATATATGATACATATATATATATATATAATGTATACATGCACTTACTGTGGTGAATCCAATTATAAACCATCCCCAATCATAAGCCCGTGAATGTTCTTGAATGGTAGTTTCATGGCACTGGGTTTAACACTATGATTCATCAATTTCTGTTTTGAACCTGGGAAAAACTCGCAGCGAACGCAAGGCCTTAGCTTGGCTGAAACTGCAGCAGTGGTCGCTCGCCGAGGGCGACTCCGGGGAGGTGCGACTCTGAGACACTTGGGCGCGGCAGTTTTGGCTGGAAGAATTTCATGTAAGGTATCCATCATTAAACCCTTAAGCAACTATAAACTATAAACCATGCTTATCATCCGTCACTGTCATTCCATGATCCATTTATTCTTAACAACTAAGCGCACGTTCAACATATCAATCATTGTCCATCCTTTTGCTGCTGAAGCAACAGAGGTGATGTGCTTTGGATTCAGGATATGCATGGGGTCCAACTGCAGGCACTGAAGCTGAACAGCAAGAATCCATGGGTGCGTTGCCCAAGTTTGTTGATCGTCTCATGTTTCCAGCTGGGAGTTGTCTCTTAGGAGGTTTTCGGTCTCTATGGTTGAGGGTCGCTGTGGTTGACTCAAGTCCCCTCTAGCCGATTCCTGGTTTCACATGGTCACATAACAAGTCTTGGCGTGTTCCGAGTTGTACGTCAACGCTCTGAAAGAGCACATGAGGGGTTGTGAACTGCAGTGGCCCCAGGCACTACATCGAAGAGCATTGGCACGCAAAGGGTCCTTCACTTGGTCATCCTGAGTGATAGCTTCCAACAGGAAACTTTCTGCAGGGTTCGTTCACACAAGAATGGACAGCTGGTTCGATGGCTGTCTGGTGGTTTGCATTCTTTTTTTCCCCTTTCCTCAATTTTCCATGACCATGACAATGTGGGATGATGATAGCCCTGGGCCAGCATAGTTTGAGGTCGCTCAGCCACTGAGGCTGAAGCAGTTTCAGGCTGCCCTTGACGACGTCAAAGATCTACTGCCTTTGCTGGACTGGGTGGCCATTTCCCGGTGCAGGGTTTTTGTGAAGCGACCTGTCAGGGGAATTTACAGTTTCAGTAGCACTTCATTTTGCATGTTTTTGCTAAATCATCTTAAGTGAGATACTTGGAACTCTAATCGAAATGAAACATCGATAGTCTTCGCAACCTCAGATGTTCAAGCAGGATGCAGGATCAAGCAGCTAATTACTAATTACCTATAATTATATCTTTCCGCCCCACCAGGAGCACTGCCCAGAAGAAACCGAAGTACAACAGCTGAAAGAGGAATTGGAGCATGGGACCCCAACAGCTTTGGTGGATCATCATTTTTGTAACTCTAAAATATTCAAATTTTAATTGTGACATATGATATTGGGATGGTTGATATGAACCATGAGCAAAGGTCTTTGTTCCTTTCGGGTCTTGATTGTAATTCACACCAAGATATTTCTGTACATACCATGTCACATATACATCCATGCGAGCACGCGCTTTGTCTGCTGGGAGGTCAAAAGTTGGCACCACTGACAAGGCATTTGCAGCACCACTCTGGGGCCGAGTTGTTTTCAACTTGGTGACTTCTTGAATCATCCGGAATCTTTATCCTGTCTGGGTGCAATATATCTCAAAATTATGGTTGGTAAGGGGAATCATGCCCAAAATCGCTTATGTGCAATGCCAATTAAGGAAAAACTCATGTAAACATTTGCCCAGGTCCTAGTCTTTCGGTGAAATCGGCCCATCATTTTAGATCTTTGGTGTTTCAGTTTGTTTCCTTTCAACCCACAGCCAAGTACCCCAGCTGTATACGTGTTTTTTCTATGTGATTAGGCCTGTACTGGTACTTTGTTAGTTAATCGGTATTATATTATGTTGTAGTGTGCGTGTGCATGATTGGGTTTAATATGTTTTAATTGTGCATCATACGGTGTATCTTGCAAGTCCACTTTTTGGGCTTCCATGGTTAAAAGGAAACAAAACAATTCTAAAGAGGATTTCCTTTGGGTGGCTGATATTCTTTATTTCTCAACCCTGGGATGGCTATCCAGATCCATTTAATTTTTTTGGGGGGCATGGTTTGACCTTCCCAGCAAGCAGCCGGCAGGGAAAAGGCAAGTCCTCGGCCTTTCCAAAAGGCAAAGGGTCTGGAACGTCTTCTGGAAATTCTGCCTGGATGATTTTTGGGTGTCAGGGCGGTCACTTGAGGTGCACACTCTTGTGGCTGTAAGAACCCAGTTTGGTGACATACTAAGTTTGATCTATTCTCGGCATATTTTGGGAATGAAATTATCATGTTGGTATGGCCAAGAATTGGAGAGATCCCCAACTCAACTGAACTCTAGACTCAACTTCTTACTTTGATTCAATTTTTTTTGTACGGATTTGAGGGGGTGAGGGGTCCGCTTATATATATCGTGACAATGGCTCACAATGAGTTACATAGTCCCAACCCTATGTTAAATAGTTTGACATTGTCCATACCATATTATCAACCGACTAGATTTTGACAATGGTTCTGATATTTTTTGCTTCCCACTGTTTGATACAAGAAATATCAAAGGTGAGATTTGTGGGTCCATGATCCAAAACCTTTGCTGATGATTTGCTGGCCTCCATGGTGAGGCAAAGGAAAGAGTTCCAAGGTGGTCGGGCAGGGCGGTGGTGTGTTCTGAATTAAATGCAACATGACCTGTTCACCCCCTAAAGGTGGTAAAACGATCGTAAAAGAATCAACAACCTTGAAATTGACGCTTGCCAATAAAAGGAAATTTATAATTGAATTGCCAGGGGTAGGCACTTAATGACATAGCGCTGCTTTGCGTCTTGATTTCAGGAAGGTGAGGCTGCAGTGACTGAGAGATTTCCGGAGATGTCTTGGGATTGTGAGTTTGGGGGTGATAATCCCGCTGAGGAAGGGGTAGCTGTTGTGCAGTTGAACTTGGAATTCTTGATTTGGGAATTGAGTAGCCACGGTCGCTGAACAGCTGTTGCGGACAGGGAAAGTATGAAGATGACTCTGCCCACAAGGGTAAGGGAAAAGGCAAGAGCAAGTGACTTGGCAAAACCTTGACATGTCCCTTGGGATGACATGGGTTCACCATGATACCAACTAAAGTGCATAACTCTAACCAACAATGGTGGCAAAGCATGTCCAACAGAGGGCCATGACAAGGAACATTTCAGCACAAACCATCATTTGTGGATAGCGAATAGAGCTCCTCCTGAATCACTTTTGATTGACCCAGACATTTGCCACGGACCGGGCTTTCCAGCCCCAGAAGCGGTCATTGGGGTTGCACGTTTCACCATGTATCCACTTTTTCCGGTACTGGAAATCATTTGAGTCCAAATAGCCATAGCGTATGGGTTTGTTTGAAATTTGTTTATCAGCATGATCCCTCTTGAAAACGGCCACCATGGGGGGTTCCACCCCAATATCTTCCTGTTGGTTAACAGTAAACTAATAGCCCCTCTGTATACCCATTAGTGGTGGTCCAACCACCATTTTCTGGTTGATTAGATCACCATTTTTAGACACAGCCCTTTATTGGTGAATCACCATTTCTAGATGAGTTTGTAAACTATGATTACTTAGCAAGATTAAATCCCATTAAATCACAATTATTGTTAGTTAAATTCCCATGAAACCACAATTTTTCGCCCGAAGCTCCGAATGCTGCAATATCCGACAGGTATGATGATGAGCCAAAGGCGCTAGCCTCAGGGCTTGACATGGCGACTATCCACTAGACAAACCATTTGGGCATTCCGAGATAGAAATGGATCGATATACAGATCCAAAATGGATTCTTCTGAGATTCCATAATGGATTCATCTTCAAATTTCAGATCCAAAATTTCGGAGATGAATGGATCTGTATAGAAATGTACAGATATAGATATAAGAATACGTAAGTATATCGTAATCAATCGATACTTTTGCAATAGTCACTAGACCAAATGGAGCCAAATGTGTCTCAAATGTTGCTGACCTGCCACGCTGATTGGCTGGAACCAACCACCTGGCACATATGTATATATATATATGTGTATGTGTGTGTATATATATATATATGTATGTATAAGCATATGTATACATAAACACACATGTCTATATGTATCTACATATATACATATATGATATAAATATAATTATATATATATATAATTATATATATATAATTATATATATATAATTATATATATATATATACCTGCAGGCCGCCTGGTTCGCCGTCGCTCGACATGCATCTTTGTTGTGTTCGGGGGGGGGTTTGGGGGACGGGGGGTTTGGGCGGGGTGGGGTGGGGGGGGGGGGGGGAGGGGGGTTTGCGTGGGGAATGGGGGGGGGGCGGGTGGGGGGGGGTGTAATAACGTCCTGACGCGCACGTTTATTTGGCTGTGAATGTTACGTTATCGCTTTATTTTCAGGGTGGAAATGCTGCGTTATTGCGTAGTCTTCAGGGTGGAAATGCTACGTTATCGCTTTGTGTTCAGGGTGGACATGCTACGTTATCGCTTTGTTTTCAGGGTGGACATGCTACGTTATCGCTTTGTTTTCAGGGTGGAGATGCTACGTTATCGCTTTGTTTTCAGGGTGGAAATGCTGCGTTATCGCTTTGTTTTCAGGGTGGAGATGCTACGTTATCGCTTTGTTTTCAGGGTGGCAATGCTACGTTATCGCTTTGTTTTCAGGGTGGACATGCTACGTTATCGCTTTGTTTTCAGGGTGGAGATGCTACGTTATCGCTTTGTTTTCAGGGTGGAGATGCTACGTTATCGCTTTGTTTTCAGGGTGGAGATGCTGCGTTATCGCTTTGTTTTCAGGGTGGAAATGCTACGTTATCGCTTTGTTTTCAGGGTGGAGATGCTACGTTATCGCTTTGTTTTCAGGGTGGAAATGCTGCGTTATCGCTTTGTTTTCAGGGTGGAGATGCTACGTTATCGCTTTGTTTTCAGGGTGGAGATGCTACGTTATCGCTTTGTTTTCAGGGTGGAAATGCTGCGCTATCGCTTTGTTTTCAGGGTGGAAATGCTGCGTTATCGCTTTGTTTTCAGGGTGGACGTGCTACGTTATCGCTTTGTTTTCAGGGTGGAGATGCTACGTCATCGCTTTGTTTTCAGGGTGGAGATGCTGCGTTATCGCTTTGTTTTCAGGGTGGAGATGCTACGTTATCGCTCTGTTTTCAGGGTGGAGATGCTACGTTATCGCTTTGTTTTCAGGGTGGAAATGCTGCGTTATTGCGTTGTTTTCAGGGTGGACTCCTGCCGTTTGTTACGATGAGACCAAAGTACCTTGGCTGCCCGGAGAAAAATGCCTTTCCAGCCGACGGCGAACCAGGCGGCCTGATCGTATATATAAATAAATAAATAAATATATATATATATATATATATCGATGTTGTCGTTGCCTCAGGGCAAAGACAAGAGCAGCAAGGGCAACAAGGGCATAGGCAAGTCCAAGAGCAGTGGTTACGAGGCCCGAAAGCATGGGCGCTTCTGTCCCAAGGATAAAGGGGAGCCGACTTAGTTGCTAAATGGCATGGTCACCCAAGAATATAGAGGCAAATCAGCTACTCAGTAGGCTGATCCTCCGGTGAAAGTTACTATGTCTAACCCCCATTGCAAGAAATGGTGAAATTCAGTCCCCAGGTGCTTCAATCCCACGAAATACTGGCCGTTACAACGATATCCCGTTAATTTTGGGTGATACCCCGCAAAAAAACAGGTAGGTCAATGATGTTTTGAAGCCGCTATGATAATTAGTCAATGATGCTGTTCATCAGTTATATGTCCATATCCATACGTGTATGTTTGATACTCAAGACCCCATGACTGACCCCCCAAAAATGATCATTCAATCCCGTTGAAATCATTGAAATACCCTCGGACTATATCACCATGTGTTTAACCCTTAAAGCATCTCAAGAGCCGTTATAGATGCTGGTTAGATCCATGGTTGTATACCTTAAAGTACCGGGATATATTCTCCCGCAAACCACCATAGACACTGTATGGAACAATCCACCAATTAGATATTTTTCATACGGAAACCATTAGTTTTGAACATCTATATGGGTGTTTCTGAAAATGTTTGGTCCCGAAATGGTCAGTTTAATACGGAAAATGATGGAAACTAATGAAACTTGTAGAACCTTATTTTCAGACAAACCCATATGGAGGTTTCCTGAATTCGGGATACCTCGAATCATCCAAGTCATTAGACCCTTTTAACATATTTTAACCATTTTCTTATGAAAACTGATGACTTGGGGATGCGACATGTTAAGAAATCCCATTGTATGTTAGGAATTGTAACTTCCCCCATCTCTTGTTCCCCATGGACCGCCGGGCCTGGCCCATCCTGGCCCTCTCGCGCAGGCATCCTATTCCTATGCGCCGTCAGGCAAATGTCGAGTGATCTGGGGTGATTTGACCAAAAATGGGAAGTTCATCAGAAAAATGGTGGTTTTCATGGGATTTCACCAATAGACATGGGGATTGAAGCCGGAAAACGATGGTTTGACCATCGAACATGTGGATGCAATATGATTTCACCAGGAACAACATGTGACATCCTTGATTTGGTAGTTGTCATATGTATATATATATATATAATGTGGGTGTATGCGCCCCAAAAACATAATAAGATGCAATAATCTGAAGAAAGACATCCTACCTAAACCCAAGATACTTTGTTTGAAACACTCATGGAAGTACTGCAGAAGTCAGCAATAATCACCGGAGTCATCATGTTCAAAGTTATTTCGGGGGGTGTCACCAAGCAACTACCCACTTCCTGGGTTTGTTTCTGATGCCAGTGTTGCTTGGTTTTGATCCGCACTTTGTTTTGCCCATTGATTCCTTTTTTTGAGGGGTAAAGCATACATGCAAGGCGGGGTCCCCAGGTTGTTGGCCAAGTTGGCACATCTCCAATTTCACTACGTATATTTCACTAGGGTTTATGGATGTTTATGGTAGATACATCGAACTTCTTAGTGGGACTATAAACCAACCAGCATAGCTACTTGGGGGTGCAGTTGGGGGTAAAACTGGTATAACCATGTACACCCCCATGTTTCTTGGGATATGGGGGGCCCCTGTAACTTTTACACAAATTATCTATTCATTTAGTTCACTGGAACTGCACTTCCGAGAAGTCCCCACCTTGTACAACCAGATGGGTTTCCTGTGGATGTTCCATTGACGGCCAATATCCAGGCAAGGGCCGGTCCTCTGATTGGTCCTATCAGGTCCGCAAGGCGGGGCAGAGACTGGGCACGTTTTTGGTGTAAAGCCCTATGAGCCTATGAGCCTGTGAGCTGATGATAATTTGATGGTGGTTGAATGGGATTAAGTGGTGATTGAATGGTCATTTTGATGTAATAGGATTTTCTATTTGATGGGATTTTCCAGTGAGGATTTAACTAACAAACATGGAGATATTAATCGGACATACTCTCTGGATCTCTCTGGTGTAATTTCACAGTTTGCTATGGAAAATGGCAATGTTTCATAAATCATATACAATTACAAGCGGGCCATTTTCCACAGCTGTGTTAGATTGCCAGAGGGCAGTAGAACCGGTTGGTGGTTTGAAACATGAGGCTTAACCGAGATTTAGACTGATGCTAAATGATGGAGGTATAATCCGCAATAAATGGGGCTACACAAAGTAACAATTTTGGCGTGGTGATTTGATATATATATATATATACATATGCGGAAACTCAAGACTCCCAACCGTGGGATCGCTCGGGCTCATCCTTTTGGATCCTTCAGCCAAATGTTCCCTGTACATGTAACCCGTGAGATGTGACCTGCTGGGAGGGTTTGACACCTGTGGCTTTAACACCGGTCATAATCCAAAATTGAAAGCTGTTTCACCGGTGCAAGATTTGCAATGCAACGTCCAAGGTGATGCAACATGCGTTCACAGTGCACTTGCCATTGCCCAGGCAAGTATTGTCATTCCATCACATCTTTCACAGATTAGCTCCATCCATGGGTTGACCAGCCGGTCTTGTGGACCTGGTTGAATCCACAAGACCCCGAGGCCTCGCCATACTTTGTGACATGGAGATAGTGAGAGAGATCCTGGTACTGCGGCAAATTCTTGGCATTGACGTTGGACATCAGCCAGCGCAGGTAGCGCTGAACATCCGCCTCTGGCGACGAGGCAAGCTCGGCATAGGACATCTGGCGAGTTGCCATCTTGCCCTCGGACATGATGGTGGTGCCCCAGTCTTCGATGCTACGCACATCAGCTGGCATCTTCTTCTTGGCAAAATCAATCTTTGTTGATCCTTCCTCAGAAGGAGACTTGGAACCACTAGTCACAGTGGGCTTGGCGAGACACTGCTTTGTCTGGCCATGATTTGCATCATTGTCTGGCCATGATTTGCATCTTTGCGATCAGGGCTCACAGGACGACGCTTCGACGCATCATTCATGGCAGCAGGCGCTTCCTCTTCCAGCGATTCAATCTCGGACCAGTCAGAAGCCTCAGATCCCAATGCGGGAAGAAAAGTCTCAATGGAACCGGTCTCATGAGCGCGCTGCAGCAAGGAACGCAGCATCTTGGATTCATCGGCATGCAAACCCTTGGATTGGAGGGCGACATGAGGGAAAAACTACTGTGCTTGGCTATGATCACTGGCTTATTTGAGATCCTATGGAAAACGCCTGGCAGTCAAACGCTTAACAAGCAACACTGGTTTATGATAGCCGCCCACAACGAATGTCCCTCTATGCACTCTTTCAACGGAAAGATTCTGAAACCACTGGCACAGAAGGTTCAACTTTCAGTTTCTGGCATCGAATTGTGGGAACATGGTTTGAGCTTCTTTTGGAGCCTGTCTTCTCTTTCTTTTGCTTGCATCCGCAAGACATGGTCCTCTGGTGATATCTGATACACAGAACTTTTTAGACACGAACGCAGCATATCCAGAGGATCGCCCTGGTCTTTCGTAAGGGCGTCAGCTAGCATACGATCTGTCGGGACCCAGCGCATGAATGCGGAGAGAGAACGAATGCTTTCTCTGATTAATGCTACATCGATGGAAGTTCTACGGCCCTCAATGGCAGTTGGGGCTGATGGTGACATGAGGTGGTCATAAAGGGATTTGCAGTCCGTTACAAGGATTGGTTTTCGACAGCTCAGCTTCTCTCTGCAATCATGCAACTTGAATGGTCCATCCAAAACTTCGGAAAGCAACAGCATGATCCATTCTACTGTACCGGATGCTGTGTCTAGCGATTGGCTTTCAGCAGCCAAGGTTGAACTCACTGCTCTTGTCAACTTGTGACTTCTCCATCCAAGTTATGGGACACCATGCAGCTACCTGACCATCTTGAAGACTAGTTTCGGTAAAGGCAATTATGTGACCAGCTTGGGTATAATCACCAACATTTGCAAAAGCAGCACCTTAGTGACACACGGCCGTTAACAGCTCTGGTTTAATGGGAGTGAAATTCACGGTTAAATCACTGTGCGTACGAGCTCTTCGAACTATGTTATTATTGGCATGACAAAGGTGTCGAATCTTGGGATTTCGAAATCAAACTGTTGACTGATACTTGTTTGAGCTGAAATGTCGGGTCTTGATTGAGAGGCGAACCAGTTTAAAGAACCATTGATTGCACGCAAAGTGCGCTGCTGCAGAGCATCCAGAGGCGTGTTAGGTGGAACGCCACGCTTGATATTGGCTGGGCGAAGCTTCTCGGCACAGTTCTTCATACTCATGCGAATGGCTTTGGTCTTTGGATCTTGATCATAAAAGGCACCACAAAATTCACCGCTGTTGATGCACCACTGCCACTTCCTGCATGGAAAAGGTGCACGCAGCTTCTCTACAGCCAAGCGAAACTCAGGACCTGATCCTCCAAGAGCTGTGTCATCTACATGCACGCCTAGCACCCCAATCAGGGAATTATCCTGTTTGGATCGGAGGGTGAACAAACAGCTGTCAAAACGACTTTGGATTCATCCAGCATCAATGGCAGCTTGCTTGAAAGTCCCAAACCCATGCTGCTGTGGCATCGTTCTGTCCATAAATGTTTCCCAGTACTTCGATCACCGCAGATTCGGGGAGGCCTGGAATGCAACCTGGTGGCTGCTTGGCAATCAGCAGGTGAGTTGGCAAAGTCTTTGAAAAAGGATACCACAGAGGAAATCCTCATGGACACCAAAGGTTTGGGAAGACCTGAAATGTTTGACAACAAAGAAGAAAGTTTTAGAAGGTGGATTCGGTCAACAATTTGGTTGCCGGGGTATTTGGTAAAGATTACGACAAAGTTTTGGAAAGTTGTTTGGATTCAGAAGACCCCATAGACCTTCAAGATTTGGCCGATAACCAACACCCCGATGTGGATAGCATAGAAAAGGTTGGAGAGCAGCTGTATCGGGTGTTGTGCCGCTTATGCATTTGGGGAAGTGAAGACCTTGTTGTTGGAGCCGGTAATGGCTATGAAGCCTATAGGAAGCTTTGTCGGAGATGGCGGTGCAAAACGTGGGCCGCCGTGAGGCCAGCTATCGAACAGCTGGAGGATTTGGTGAGGAGATACGAAGCTCGGAGGTCAGCTTCAGGGACCCGGGAGTTGTTGAGTGATGACATCAAATCAGCATCTCTAGAACTATTGGTTCCAAGTGATCTTGAGGAACATTTGATCCTTAACAAGGAATCGGTTGACCACTTATGATTTGACGAAACACGAAATTGAATTGGTGGTCGAGTCCAGCGTTGGTTCAAAGGGTTCCGTAACATTCCGTAACTAGACCAGGACAGGCTTCAAGTAGTTCAGGGCCCAAACCAATGGATGTTGATTCCATAACCCAATGGGTAGCAAGTTTAGTAAAGGGTCAGGCCAAAGGCAAAGGAAAGGGCAAGTCCAAAGGCAAGGAAAAAGGAAAAGGCAAAGGTAAAGATAGTAGTAAAGGCTCAGATTGCTCAAATCCAAACGGAGACAAGGACATAGTGTGCCACAACTGTGGCAAGAAGGGTCATAGACAGGCAGACTGCTGGAGCAAGAAGAAAGACGGCAAGGGCAATCAAAAGGGCAATTCAAAGGGCAATCAGAAGGGCAAGAAACACGTATCGGGGCTAGAACATGGAGAGTCAGCGGAAGTGGGTGCTGAGCCCGCACCAGAGGCTGACGTAGGATTGTTTGATGATGTTGGAGCGATAGATGGAAAGGTTTGCACACCAGCGGCTGCTTCAGCCGTAGAGGAATGGGTGAGATTCAACTTGGATACAGGAGCCGCGCAGACGGCAGTCCCAAAAGATTGGGTGAATGACAAGGTCACTGTCACCGGCACCTTTCGTCTTAAGATGGAAGCTGTACACGCATGTACACATCCTTTTCCTGATGCACCGGCAATCAAGTATTGACCTCAGCTGCTGCCGAACGGTTGATGATTCCTGGGATGGCTCTACCAGCCTTCGAATTCACGGGGACCAATTGTCCACCATTCTCATCAAGCACAGCTATCCGAACAAATAAGCACTTGTGTCCTGACACATCTAAATGGCTCCTCGGACACGGCATCTCATACCGCTTGGTTCCTGTGCCCTCACTAGGCACCAACTCGCCAGATGCTGTCTTGAAAATCACTTCGCTCGCTCGGCCGAGGATGCAATTGAATAAGTGATGGAAGAAGCGGAGGAGTCTGAGAGGCCAAAGCTGGTAAGATCTCTATATACTCCGACACAGGCAGAGATAGAGGAACATGAGTCCACAGGGCACGTGGTCTATAGAGACGCCGGCATTGCGTCGCAGGACGCGGTCTGGGACAAAGACACCAGACTAGAACCAGTGAGCAAAAGGAGCAAAACCTGGTACCAACTGTTGCATTTGACTGTGCAGTCATGTCCCGCAGTGACTAGGACAATGACAGGCTGAGGCCCATCCTTGTGGTCAAGGATGAGAGGACACAGATGGTTGCAGCAACCTTTGTGGACTCGAAGGATGCTACCCCTTATGCTGTGAAGTTTGCAGCAGCATTCTTGAAGAACTTAGGCTACCGCAAGGTAGTGCTTAAGTCGGATGGAGAACACTCCATCATGGCATTGACAGAGGCAGCGGCCAGAGAAGCCGCCATCGACTCAGGGGAGACCATCAAGAGACTGGATTGGTTGAAAATGCGATCCGTGAAGTGAAAAGGCAGATCCGAGTTTTGAGGTCAGCTTTGGAAGAGAAAGTAGGCAGGGTACTTCCTGGTGAGGACCCGATGCTTGCTTGGTTGCCGTGACAGGTTGAACAG